TGCGCTGCAAGCGCCAGGTGAGTCACATTCATCCCTTCAGAGATGTTATCGCCAGGTTCTGTATTATACTTGGGATGTATTGGAACAAAACAGCCATGCTCTCTAAGCTTAAAGGGCTTACTGGGGACCTAGGGAGATAATGCACTCAGTAAAGTGCCTGATGTAAGTACGAGGATCTGGGTGCAGCCCCCAGAACCTTCAGAAACAGCTCAGCAATTAAAAGAGGATTGGCTGCTCTTCCAGAGGACCTGAGTTCAGTTCCCAGCACCCACATGACAGCTCACAACTGTCTGTAAGTCCAGTTCTAGATCTCAAACCCTCTTTTGGTTTCTTGGGCACCAGGCATACAAATGAACAGATATGCATGCAGTCAGAACACTCATACATTAAACAAATAAAATTTTTGGCCGAGCAATGGCAGCACATGCCTTTAATCCCAGCACTCAGGAGGCAGAAGCAGAGGGATCTTTTGTGAGTTTAAGGCCAACCTGGTCTACAGAGCGAGTTCCAGGACAGCCAAGGCTGTTATGTAGTGAAAGCCTGTCTTGGAAAACAAAAACGAGATTTGAAAGCTGGGTTAGAGCCCATGAGTTGACTTGGTGAGTTAAATTACCTGGCATCCAGAGTTCTAGCCCAGGCCCCATGTAGTTAAAGGAGAAAACTGACTTCTACTAGTTGTCCTCTGAACCCCACAAACACTAAATCATTAATTTCTAAAAGGAGAATGTAAGGCCAAGTCTGGTGATACACACTTGAGTTCCCGTATTGGCAGTGTGGGGATAGATCCCTGGGGCCCACTGGCCAGTCACCATATCGTGTTTGAGTTCCAGGCCAGTGAAGCAGTGCAGGGCATTTTACTCTGGCCTCCACATGTACACACATGCACAGAGAACAAAAGGCAAAGACAAGAAAGTAAAGGAAGGGAAGAGAGTGGATGCAATTACACACAGGCAAAGGTTCTGTCAGGAGATGAGTAGAACCTAAGCTAAGAAGAACCTGAAGATGGAGAAGTCAGACAAGCTCCTCCTTTTGCTTTATTTTTGGTTTTCTGAGAGAAGGCTGGCCTAAAATTTGCTGCAGTCCTGGCTAAGCCTCCAGCAGTCCAGACTCCAGGTGTATGCCACCGCACCCAGCCACTCCTGCTCAGAATCGGTTAAGTACAGGCCTAGAAGTTAAGAAGCTAGCCATACAGAAAGAACAATCCGTAGAAAGGCCAAAATAAGAGAACGCGATATTTAGCTGGGGCCCTGGGGGCAAAAGTGAGGGTGGCAGGTAACTGGGTTGGAGCCAGCTGCCAGCAGAGGACAGTCCTTGAGGCCAAGTGATACAGATGTTTGGCTTTCATTCGAGACCAAGCATAAAGTGACACTATCATTTGTCTTTTAAATTGTTGGATTGGTTCTGAAAACCCGTCTGGCCTATCTGTTGTTGAACATGACAAAATGAATACCTGTGTCCCTATCACCACACCTCAGGGTCAGCATGCTGCTGGCACTAAGGAAGCTCCCCAATATCTACTTTGAAAGTGAAGAATGGGGTGGAGGAAGCAGAGTGTAATAACCCAAGCAAGTATTTAAAGCGAGACTTGACAATTACCTGGAGTAAGGTGGTAGCAGTAGGAACAAAGAAGTGGGGTTTGGATGGGAGCAGCCAAGTGTTATGAACAGATGTGAGGAGGTTGGGGAAATGAAAAACAGTGGCCCTTCAATTTTAGGAACTGAGAGAATGGTAGGTAGCAGTAATGTAATAAGTCGGGACCACTGGGTGTGAGTAGTCTGACCAATAGGACAGAGTAGGGATGGGGCGGAGCTTCCATGCACAGCTTACTCTCCTCCTGGCAGTGGGAGGAGCAGCACAGAGGACGGAGCTGTGAGGACTTCCAGACCTGGAAACGCACCAATGACCCAGAATACCAGGCTCAAGGCCTGGCAATGTATCTTCAGGAAAATGGCATTGGTAAGGCTACTCCATTTAGCTTGTCTACCCGGAAGTCTCACCAGCGGAAGCTTCCTTCTTGAGGGCCTGGGTTGCAGTGCTACCCTCACACTAAGCTGCTGTCCCTTACAGACTGTCCTAAGTGCAAGTTCTCATATGCACTGGCCCGAGGAGGCTGCATGCATTTCCACTGCACCCAGTGCCGTCACCAGTTTTGCAGTGGCTGCTACAATGCATTTTACGCCAAGAATGTGAGTTCAGGGAGTGAGGGAAGGAGAGAAGAGTGGGCAGCTGTGTGGGTTTGAGGGGCGGGGGCCGTGAAAGGGAATGGTCAACAGGATAGAAAGCCTCTCTGTCCTCTTCCCACTTTGCCTGCTCCAGACCCCTTAATTTCACCGCTCCTCTCACCCCCATACCCCACCTCGTTCAGGGCTCCCAACGGTTTCCAACTTCTGTCTCCTATTTGGGTTTTACCAGAAATGTCCAGACCCTAATTGCAGGGTGAAAAAGTCCCTGCATGGCCACCACCCTCGAGACTGCCTCTTCTACTTACGGGATTGGACTGCTGTTCGGCTCCAGAAACTGTTGCAGGTCAGAGGTGGCCTGCCAGGCTGGGTGTGCAGATTCCTAGAAAGGGGGGGGGGGGGAGTTGGATGAGCAAGAATGGAAAAGACTGAATGCTAGGAAATGGGGAGTAGCTGGATCAAGGAAAACAATGCCCTATGCCTCTACTTCTCCCTAGGACAATAATGTCATGTTTAATACAGAGCCTCCAGCTGGCACCCGAGCAGTCCCTGGAGGTAAGTGTCACACTCTTACCTCTAATGTGGAGATGGTATGCTGGGCTCCCATTGCTGGGTAAAGAAAGGGAGGCTTGGCTCTGGGGTCATTTGTGTGCCCTTTGGCAAGGTAATTAACTTCTCCCTGTGTGTTTCTTCCTGTGTGTGAAGTGAGGATAATATCTACCTAATGGCTAAGCTGTGTTATGAGGTATCATTAAAGCACTTGGCCCTTATTAAGTCTCTTCTCATGTTCTCTAATGATTAGGATTTGGTAATTAACTGAGTAATTAATGATACCTGCTAGCTGTTTTAGGTTTTAGGCTACTGTTTTAAGTTCTATTTGGGGAACAAAAGATGTTGAGTAAGGTTCTGACCTACCCTACTCACCTTCTAGGCAGAGTAAGACCTCCAGAGAGTTGGGCTGTGGGGGCGCACACCTTTAATCCCAACATTCAAGTGTCAGACAGGTGGATCTTTGTGAGTTCAAGGCCAGCCTGGTGTACAGAGTTTCAGGACAGCCAGGACTACACAGAGAAACCCTGTCTCAAAAAACAAACAAACAAGACCTCCAGAGAATAAGTTGGTGTGTAGGAGCTAAACAACCAGGAGAGCAGTATTAAGAGCATTGGACAGGCCAGCCAAAGCTACATAGTGAGACCCTGCCCCTCCCCCACCCCAGAAAAGAGCATGTGATTGTGGAACTTAAGCCACTTTGGTGAGAAGTGGGGCAGCCAGGCCTCCACCCGTTCCCAAGTCACTGCCTCTCAACCCTTCTCCAAAGTGTGACTACTGACAAGCGGGTTTTCCTGGGCTCAGAGGCCCCCTCCCAACATGTACCCCTTCCTTCCTTACTCTTAGGTGGCTGCCGAGTGATGGAACAAAAAGAGGTTCCCAGTGGGTTCAGGGATGAAGCTTGTGGCAAGGAAACTCCACCTGGCTATGCCGGCCTCTGTCAGTGAGTGCCTGCCAGAGCTTGGAGCATGGCATTGGGATGAGGGCTAGGTTGCCCAGGCAGTAAGATGGGTCTCTGGGGCCAGTTGGTCCTTCAAAGAATAGGAGGGAGGGAGGGAGAGGGTGCACTGGTCAAGGGTATGGATGGGTAGTCGCAGGCAGAATAGATCCTGGTTGACACTGCCTGCAAGTAGTCTTGTTCATGTAAGAATCTCCATGTGTCCAGGAAAGCCAAGGCTATTACAGATCCTGTCTCAAAAAAACAAACAAAATCCCAATGTGGTCTGATGAGACAACTGTGTGTGGGTAAAGGTATTTAGTGCCAACCATTGGGACTGGAGTTCTACCTCCCAAACCCGCATGACAAAAGGAGAAAACCAACTCACAAGTTGTCCTCTGACCCGCATATGTTCACTGTGATACCTGTGGGTGTGAACAACATAACACACAATTTAAAAAGGAAAAATCCCAATACCCAACAAAGAGTTAAGCTCACACAGGTGATGTTAAGCAGAAGAATGAGTATCCTGCTCCCTCATTTCCCCAGGGCACACTACAAAGAGTATCTTGTGAGCCTCATCAATGCCCATTCGTTGGACCCAGCAACGCTGTATGAAGTGGAGGAACTGGAGACAGCCACTGTTCGCTACCTGCATGTACATCCCCAGCCAATGGATGGAGAGGGTCTTCCTGCCTATCAGGCCCGATTGTTACAGGTGACCCTGCCGACACCCAGCCTTACCTCTGACCTTCCACAAGTCATCTGTCATAGCCCATTTCCCCACTCCAGCTTTTCAATGTCATTTCCCTCTCCTTTGCAGAAGCTGACAGAAGAAGTACCCTTGGGACAGAGTATCGCCCGCAGAAGGAAGTAGCTGAGGGCAAGGGTCCTGATGAGGCTTCACGACCCTGCCCTCAGCAACAGCTCCGGCACCAATAAAGCGGCATCTTATGGCCTAGGCTTCTTGGTGGTCCTTCTTCCTGGCCTCACCATCTCGGGGCCTTAGGGAAAGGGAGGGGTAGGCGAACAGAATCTTGTTGAAAGGGCCCTCTGCAACCCACCATTCAACCACCCCTGGACTCCTGACCAATATGAATGAAATGTCGTTGGATGGATGGACAAGAGAGACTCTCCAAATCTAACCATGTGGTGTGGGCCTCTCTGCCTCCTTTTTTCATCCTACTTATCCTGGCTGCTGTGTGAAATCACCTCAAATATAACAAGCAGACATTTGGGGAGCACAGATGAGCCTCCAGGTCAGACCCAGAGACTAGCCTTCCTGAGAGGCACCAGGGAGTCATGGGAGGAAGGAGGGCCAAAGCCACCAGGCCCAGGGCTGACATCTCAGATGCTGCTTCCCTCTGGTGGTGACTGCTGGCCCTGCAGCTGAGACCACGTGATTTCTAGGAAATGCACCTCCCGGAGGAGAACTGAAACTTAGGGTGGGGACTGTAGAAAGGGGAGGAGAGATCACAAACCTAGCCTAGAACAAACAGCCTGTGATATCCTCGTTCGCTCAGGTAAGAGCAGCTCTGCAGGGGAATTGGAAGGGCATTGAGATGAGGGTGGTGAGGGCTCCAAGGTGTTATGCCAGAGGGACAGTCAGACCAGAAAGCTTGTGGACCAGAAAATAGGTTTGGCCTGAGTGAGAGACTGATGCTGGTCCCTGTAGTCAAGACAGGAGTCAAGCCCTTTGTTCAGCCTTCGTTGACTTTTGTTTTCTTGCCTCTGGCCCTGCCTACTGCTTAACCCCTCCCTTTTCCCCAGGTATCTGCCTCACCTACCCCTCTGGCACAGGGAGAAGGGGTGGGGATGAAGGGGTAAGTGGATTGGGGAGATGCCTTAAAAGCAATGTTGCCTCTGGATGCTTGGGGTCTACACAGTCTGTCACCAGGAGCAGCTCATTAAGAGGATCCTCCCAAATAATATTTCAAAAACACGTCAACGTTAAGACCAAGGTTTTCTACCAGGTGTAATAAACTTCAAATATCAAAACGGAATAGTTTCTACCTCAGAATGTGTTGAGAGAAAAGAACAGGGAAGGGCTGTTGTAGGAAGCTGCCCCCCCCCCACGATCAAAGTTTAGCAAATATTCCCACATTGTTGGTTCTCCCTGGGCACGGTGGCACACACCTTTGATCCCAGCAATTCAAAGGCAGATGGATCTCTGTTTAAGTCCAGCTTAGTCTATAAAGTTAGTCCCAGGGCCAGCCAGGATGACATGGTGAGATCCTTTCTCAAATTTTAGAAATAGTTTTATGTATCCTGCTCCTCTTCCTAGGATGGCCTCAGGCAAAGCACGCTGTACCCGGAAGCTCCGAAGTTGGATAATACAGCAAGTGGAAAGTGGGCAGTTCCCAGGTGTGTGCTGGGATGATGCAGCCAAGACTATGTTCCGGATTCCCTGGAAGCATGCAGGCAAGCAAGACTTCCGAAAGGACCAGGATGCTGCCATATTCAAGGTGAGAGGGCCTGAAGCCACCATCCCCTCAAAGGATGGTGTCTGCACTGATGTGTTTATATCCAGGTGCTTTTGCCTGTCTGGGTTTTGGATAAAGGGAGTACTAGAAAGTAGAACCAGCTGTGTCATTTGCAGAGCCACAGTCAATTAGCAAGGGTATCATGCTGGCAAGAACGGAATACAAACCCAGTGCAGGCTTATCTAAGCCCAAGGCCTGTGCAGTTGCTCAGGCCACATACCTGTGCAGTCAGTCATTTGGAGGGACAGGTGTAATGTGGTGTGTATAATACTTTGTTCTTCACTTACTGTCTTGCTAGGCTTGGGCACTGTTTAAGAAAAAGCACAAGGATGAGGACATAGGACCCCCTGCTGTCTGGAAAACTCGCCTGCGCTGTGCCCTCAACAAGAGTCCTGAATTTGAAGAGGTTCCTGAGAGAGGCCGCATGGATGTTGCCGAGCCCTACAAAGTGTATCGGATACTGCCATCAGGAACCCTCCCTAGTGAGTGGTCCCTCCCTGGAAGGACGGGAAGGATGCAGACCTCCTGCAGTCTGGCAGGCCTTCCTGGGCTCCCTAGTTCTGCTCAGCTCTTTGTTGCTTTGGCTCCATCCCCCACTGTGGCACCTGTGCTGCTGTAGAAGCCTGAGAAACTGCGGAGGATGTCGAGGTTAATAACACAGGACTCTTGCTTGATATTAAGAAGACTCTTTATTCCAATCTACTTTACTCCAGGGGCTAGTTTCATACCCTAGCACCAGATGGAGGAGGGGGAAGCAGAGGGGGTGGTTAGTCATCTCAGGTTCCAAGGACCTGTTAGGGTGCTTTCAGGGCTGCCAAAAGAGCATTAGCATTTTGCATTAGAAAGCATCTCTCCTGTTTTCCAGCTGTTACAGTTGCCTGCCCTGAGGGCAGCAGGAGGGGGAGTGAATTCTTAGCCCAGGTCTTAATTCCTATACTCCACCATCTTGCTCTGTAAAAGGCTCTTAACTTTCCTCTACCTGCAACATTTCCACAGCCCAACCCAGAAGCCAGAAATCAGCATCAAAGCGATCCAACAGTGCTGTGTCACCGGACAGGGAAGAGAGTAAGGTAAGGAAGGCACCGTCTAGAACTTGACACCCAGATATTTCTGTCTGCAAGACTCTTGATAAACTGAGTGCTGGGAAAGGAAATAGGTAGGCCAAAGAGTGGGACAGTAACCAAAGAAAGAGGTGTGCCAGTGACACATGTATCTGCAGGAGAAGGGGAGGACCAGTGAGGTTGTAACCCTCTCAGACTGTGGCGGCGGCGGCGGCGGCAGCAGCGGCTACAGCAGCAGCAGCAGCCCTGAGCCGGAGGAAGGTACTGTTTCTCCTGCCTTCATGTCTCTGTTGCACCTTCTGTTTCGGGCTCTTTGGTCCCACTCTGAGTGATCAGTGCCTTTGCCTCCCTTCCAGGTGCTAGCACAACTGAAGCCCCCATTCAAGAGGACCCAGTACTCACAGATCATCTGCTTCCTCTGAACTCAGGTGCGTGGCCTTTCTGACCCTTCCTCGTTCCCTTCCTCTCAGATCTCCTTCCTCAGACCTTGCCTGCGTTGTCTACTCAGCTAGAGCTTACAAACTGGGCCCACTTTATCCTAGAGACAACACTTCTATGAATTGAATGCTGATTACACTCCATAGATAGAGCCTTTTTCTTCCTCAGGGGAAAATAAAATACTCTGTTCTTGAACAGCCACATTGAGACATTTATTTCTTGTTTGGTTTTTGTTGTTTTGTTTTTTGAGACAGGGTTTCTCTTGTAGCCCTGGCTGTCCTGGAACTTGATCTGTAGACCAGGCTGGCCTCAAACTCAGAGATCTGCCTGTCTCTGCTACCCAGGTGCTATGACTAAAGACGTGTGCCACCAACGCTCAGCTGAAATGTTTATTTCTTTATTGTCCAGAAAAATCTAGTCTCTGAGACCTCCTCGTACACTGCACAGCCATGAGCATTAAGCTCTGATAGGAGTGACCCTGGAGTGACAGGAAACCTTTGCCAAAACTGTTAGAAGGAAGGTGTGCACATGAAGTTTACATGAAGAGTTTGAGGCTGGCCTCAAACTCTCAGAGATCTGACTGCCTCTGCCTCCCGAGTGCTGAGATTAAAGGGTTGTGCCGCCGCCGCCACCCGGCCCCTTCTTTTTTTTTTTTTTTTTTTTTTTTTTTTTTTTTAAAAGACAGTCTCATATTGCCTAGTCTGACCTCAGACTCACTGTGTAGCTCAAGATGACCTGGATTCCTGATCCTCCTGAGTGCTGGACTTAGAGATGTGTGCCACCATGCCAAGGTGTTGGGGCACCTTATTGCAGTACTGAGGGTTGAACCCAGGGCTTTGTGCATGCTAGGCAACCATTCTTTTCTGTTGAGCCACATTATCAGTCCAAAGACACCTTCTCTAAGCAGAAGGAACTGCCTCAGCTCTGAACCTTGTCTTTCACAGTGCTGCTTGGATTCCTGTTCTGGGTTCAGTGTTCCCATTAACAAAATGGGGACACTGGAGCACTTCATTTTCTCTCAAACCTTGTGCTGGTCATGTGCACAGTGAGGAGAGGGCCTCTTATGGCCTTCAAGCTCCTCCTACATTAGTACAGCCAGGCTTTTCTGTTCCCAGACTACTCTCTGCTGCTCACCTTCATCTACAGTGGGCGTGTGGTGTATGAGACCAGGGTACACAGCCTAGACTGCCGCCTTGTGGCTGCGCCCTCAGCCTTGGAGAGCAACATGCTACAGGTGATGTTTCCCAAACCTGATCCTCTGGAGCCTATCCAGCACCTACTGAATCAGCTTGAGAGAGGCGTCCTGGTGGCCAGCAATTCCAGAGGCCTCTTTGTTCAACGCCTTTGTCCCATCCCCATCTCCTGGAACGCACCTGAGGCCCCACCTGGGCCTGGTCCGCATCTGCTGCCCAGCAATGAGTGTGTGGAGCTCTTCAATACCACCTGCTTCTCTAGAGGTAAGGGCTTCCTAGCGGGGCACCTCAGCACCTACCCCTGGGCCTGACCTGGGCCTGACCCGGGTTCCCACACCCCCCTGTCCAGCAGCGACTGGTCCCCACTGTCTGTGCATGGCAGCCCTGCACTTATATGATGCTCGTTATGTGTAGCCATATGTTCAGCTCTGACAGCATTTTCCTAGCCAAGGTCATGGTAGATGAGGTTCAGCTGGAGTTAAGCACAAGAGTGACACATCTTGGGGGAGCACTGTACAAACGAGTTAACCAGATTTAAGCCTGTGACTATCTCCACACACACTGGAACACACAACTCCATTTGTGGAAGAGCCAAGATACCTTGCACATGCTTGGCCCGCCTCACCATCTCTACCATGCTGTAGGAGTCTCCTAAGACCGTCCCTTCCTTCTGTCCACTCTAGAAATTCTAGTTGAGCCTCTGAATGTGAGCATAGATAGGAGCAGAGTGGGGAGCACGGAGGATAGAGTGTCCTAGTGTTGGGAGTGTAAGCAAACAACAAAGGGTTGGTGGCCAGGGCCGCTTGCTTCTGAGGACTCCCTTCCTACTGCATCGTGGAGACAGCTTAGTTCCTAGCATCTCTAAGCCATGCTTCTGCCCTGGCCTTGGTGTTCTTGTTACCCCATTTCCAACTTTACTTGTGGGCCTCTGTATTGTTTGTTTTTGTTTTTTAGTCAAGTCCTCACATCACTCCTGGTGGCCTGGAACTTCCTAAGTATACCAGGCTACTTCAAGTCCATGGCAACTCTCCTGCCCCAGCCTGAGTGCTGGGGTTACAGGCACACACCACCATGCCTGGCCATACTGTCGTGCCTGCTTTCCCTCTTCTTTCTTCCAATCCTTGATCCTTTTTCTTTCAGACTTGGCCCAGTACGTCCAGGGTCTCGGCCCTCCGCCCAAGTTCCAGGCAACACTGCATTTCTGGGAGGAGAGGCCTGGCTCTAGCCATACCCAGGAGAATCTTATCACAGTGCAGGTGAGCTCTGTGAGAGCGATGTGATTGATTGTGAAAGGGGAAGGAACTATAGGGTAGTGACTGTCTCTCCAGTGCTCATGAGGCCTGGTCCTCATTTCTTCCGATACAGATGGAGCAAGCTTTTGCCCGGCATTTACTGGAGAAAATTCCAGAGGAGCAGGAAGCGGCTTTGTTCCTGGTACAGAACCCAGAACACCCATTTGCTGCTTTACCATTCTGATCCTCAGGGCTCTGTTGAAATACACTTGTTCTCCACACCATTGGTCTGCCTGCTTTGTGTGGGTTATACAACATGGCTGGCAGTGCAGGATCTTTTTATCTTTAAAGTAACTATTTTGAGAGCCAGGTTTGTTGGTGAATATTTGTGATCTCAGCACTTGGGAGACAGACTGAATGACTTTTATTTTAGATATACCCTCTTTATTTTAGATATACCCTCTTTCATCTCTAAGGAGCTGGAAAGTTTATGCTGTCTTTCCAGCCCCTAACTCTGAATCCAAGCACTTTATGTTTCCTTCCTAGAATTTTAAATAAAATTCAACTGGGTGGGGTAGTACACACTTGTAACCTTGGCACCTGTGGGGTAGAGGCAGGAAGAGTGTGAATTCAAGGCCAGCCTTGGTGACATATTATGATCCTGTCTCCAACAAATAAATAAAAGCTTTTTTAAAGAGAGATGAGTGTGTGATATGTTGGGAGAAGGTAGTAAGGGTTACAGGGGAATTGTAAAGATGTAGACTTGGGCATCCGGTACCTGGGTTATCTTCCTGATGACACCTCCAGGTTTGCTTGCTGTCCTCTGCCAGTAGGACTAGCTGGAATGCTGTCTGGTTGTAGAGCCTACTCTCAAACACATGGTGACTCTCCTCCCCAGCCTCCTAAGTGCTGGGTTACAGACATAGACCACCCTCCATTACCTTCTATCTTCCAATCTTGACCCTTCTAGTTTGTTTTTCAGACTTGGCCTAGTTCTGCCAGAGCCAGGGGCCCCCATCCAAGGTTCAGACAACCAAACTGGGGAAAGGATTGGGACGCAATCTCTAAGAGAGGCCTACAGGCAAACGGCACTGTAGTACTGGATGCTTACATGAGGATAGCCCCCGTGTGCTCATACATTGGAAACTTACCCCATTTTTTTACCTCCAAAGACAGGTTTTCTGTGTGTGTCCCTGGCTGTCCTGGAACTCTCTCTGTAGACCAGGCTGACCTCGAACAGCTCTCCCTGCCTCTGCCTCCTGAGTGCCACAGCCAACCCACAAATACATTGACTACTTAGTCCTCAGTGGAGCTGTTTGGGAATGATTAGGAGGTGTGACCTTGTTGGACAAGGTGTGTCACTGGCAGTGGGCTTTGAGATTTCAAAAGACTCACGCTGGGTGGTAGTGGCACACCCCTTTAATCCTAGCATTTGAGAAGCAGAGGCAGGTGGATCTCTGTGAGTTTGAGGCCAGCCTGGTTTACAGAGAGTTCCAGAATAGCCAGGGCTACACAGAGAAACCCTGTCTCAAAAAACCAAAACCAAAAAAGAAAAGAGAGTCATACTCTAGCACCATGTTCACTGAGACTTGAGTGCTGGTAATTGACACGCTTTACCATGTGTCATTTTGTCACTGCACCAGTTGGTGCCATCGACATCTGACAGCCAGCACCTTCAGCATCCCCATCCCTGCACATAGCACCAGTTTTACTTTCCTTCTTGCCATGGCACAAGCCTCCCGAGGCTCGCCCACGTGGTCAGGTCTAGATGCTGAAGTCCTTGCAGGACCTTGCCAGACTCCTTTGGTTTTCTGCCTCCTTGAACTTTTTTCCTTCCCTTCAGTCTGCCTCTCATCCCTCAGGGAAGCCAAGAGTAAACAGGGGAGGTACTGCTTTTGTGCCTTCAGTTTCCTGGAATCCCCCTTGAACCTTTGGACCTGTTCTAAAGTACATCTTTGTCTTCCATTTTTCTCTTGGACCCTACATCTAAGCCCAAATGGATATGGCCACTCTTACTTCAAACTGCTGAGGTGATGGATATGGTGGCCACACCTTTAATCCCAGCACTCAGGAACAGAGGCACGCTGATCTCTGAATTCTGGGCCAGCCTGAGGTACATACAAAGTGAGACCTTGTCTCAAACATTTCTAAGAGGTGGTGGCAGTGAGATTGCTTAGTGGGTAAAGGCATTTGCTGTCAATCCTGGAGATCTGAGAGTTTGATCCCTGGATCTACATGGTAGATGGAGAGAACCATCTCCCACAAGCCATCCTCAGACCTCTACACACGCAGCTTGTGCAACACTTAGAAAATAAAAATATAAACGTGAGAGAGAGAGATCTGATTCCTGTGGAAAATACAACATGTTCACACATGCTGCAGTGAGAACAGAATCTAGGGTTAAAGTCAGTCTGGAGCCCTGAGGAGGATGAATAAAGGATGTGAAATGACCAAGCTAAACAGGTAAGAGGGGTAGTGGGTTCTGGGCCGATGATTACAGTCCAACTGCCGCTCCACAAGACCCTGAGGATTTTATGTGTGAAACACTTAATATTCTTGCTTCTGAGACAGCTAATTCTTTTTTTTTTTAATTATTTTTCTTAGTTTACATATCGATGCCAGTTCCCTCTCCTTCCCTCCCTCCCTCTGATACCCCTCCACCCTCCCATCCCATTTCCCCCCACCAATCCACATGGAGGGTGGTGCTTTCCAGGAGGGGCCAACAAAATTTGTCAAGTCATTTGGAATAGGGACTAGGCCCTCCCTACTGAGGCAGCTAATTCTAACGTGCAATTGCAAGTCAGTCAGATGTCATCTCACAAGCTTCTGCTTAAACCACCATAGCAAAGCTACAAGCTGATGCTGTCAATGTAACACGAGTGCTTCCTATAGTTTAACAGCACTTGGGACACTAGGTTGGGGGCAGTGAGGCTGGCCAAATGACTAACAGCAATGGACAGCCACGGGCAGCCGATAAGCAGGTACCAGTCAGACAGAGAGGGGCTCCAAACACTCCTGACTGGGTGGGCAGCCCATTAGCATCTCCCTATTGGGTCAAGCAGACTCAGAGCATGTGGATTCTCCAATGGTTCACCCAGTGATACCACTGAGAGCTAACCAACCTCAAGCACTTACTTCAACTTTTGTCCAGTTTCTGGACATAAAGTCCTAGAGGAAGAAATTCAGTAGCTTTTCCCTCCCTTGGGATCCCTGCCCATTCTTGGGAGTGTCTCTCACTTCTCATTTTCTCATTTTGTGTAACTTTTTTAAAGATTGATTGATTGGTTGGTTGGTTGATTGATTTATTATGCATAGGGTTCTGCCTGCATGTAGGCCTGAAGAGGGCACCAGATCTCACTGGTTCCTGGGAATTTAGGGCCTCTGGAAGAGCAGCCAGTGCTCTTAACCTCTGAGCCATTTCTCCAGCCCCAACTTTTCTGTAACTTTTAAATAATTTTAATTTTATTATGTGTATGGTGTTTTTGCCTGCATGTGTCTCTGTACCACATGAGTGCCTGTGGTCCATGGAATCCAGAAAAGGACCTCTGATCATTTGGAACCGGAATGGATGATTATGGGATGGTTATGAGTTGTCATTTGGGTCTTCTAGAAGAGCAATACATGCTCTTAGCCTCTGAGCCACCTCACCACCCCCCACTTATCTATATTCTAATAAAGCTTGCTTCTGCTTTGCCTTCTCCCCCAAGACTCAGCCACTGTCCCAGGCTGACCTTTGATGATCAAAGTGTCTGAGCCAAGAAAAGTCCTATCATTCTTAAAGTCCTGTGTCAGCTCTGCCATCGCCACAAATCTTTTCACATTGCCTCTGTATCCACTCTTGTCAGCCTTTAGCCTGTTCTCAACACAGTACATACAGATTCTCTAAACACAAATCCGGTCATTTCACTCCTGTGCTTAAAACCCTCCTTGGCTCCCAGCACCCTCAGGGTAACAACCAAGATCCTGAAAATGACATACAATGTTAAACAGTCCCCAGCCTCCTTCCCATCTCATCCTTTGCCCTTCCCATGCTGCTTTCCTCCAGGCTCCACTAAACATTTGTTTTGTTCTTTTTTGTAAAATACTGTTCCTTGCTGACTGGTGGCACGTACGTTTGAATCCCAGCACTAGAGGCAGAGGCAAGAGGATCTCTGTGAATTTGATGCCAGCCTTGTCTACAGAGTGAGTTCCAAGTCAGCGAGGGCTACATAGAGAGACATTGTCTCAAAAATCCAAATAATATGATAATATAATCTTCCTGGAGGCAGTCACATGACCTGTGCTTTCTTTTCAAAATACCACCTAGAGCTCCCCTGGGTATCCCACATCTTCTGGTCCTTTTCCTGTTCCACATTTAACTTTATTTTCTCTTTTTTAATTTTCAAGTGTGTGTGTGTGTGTGTGTGTGTGTGTGTGTGTGCACGTGTGTGTGCACCCACGCACCATAGGAGTTGGATCCCCCTTGAGCTGGAGTTACAAATAGTAGATGACTGTGAGCTGCCTGGTGTGGTGCTGGGAATCAAACTTGAATACTCTAGAAGAACTGTACATGTTCTTAACCACTGAGCAATCTCTCTCTCACACTAATGTTAAAACTTGATAGTGCTGCCATCTCACACACTTACTTATCATCTCCCCTCCCTACCCCCTGAGAACAGGGAACACAGTGTCCTTTTCTCGTCCCAGTGGCATGTGAGAGGCACACTGTTGAACTGGCTGGATGAATGCTGTTCCGTGTGTCTCCTGTCGCGAAGAGGCGATATGGAGCGTCTTCTAATCAGGGCTTGCACTTTGTCTTTGATGGCCAACATGACAAAGTGACAGTTCAAAGACTGAAATAACCAGTGTAGCCAAGCACAGCAGGATAGGGATTGGGAATACTAGAACTCAAAACAGCAAAATTCCAAGGCAGGCTCTGAGGAGCTATGCGGTCTATGAGAAAACATGTGGGCTTGTGCCCCCCCCCCAACTCATGCCAGATTCCTCAGTCCCTGTGTTGTTATCCTTTATTTATGTGCGCTCGAGTGTTTGTGCCTGAGTATTTGCTGTGTACCACATTCCTGAAAGGGCTGGAGAAAGACAGAAAAGAGCAGGGTGGTGGTGCATGCCTTTAATACCAGCATTTGGAAGGCAGAGACAGATGAGTTCTAGAACAGCCAAAGCTACATAGTGAGACCCTGTCTCAAAAAAACCCAAACACAGGCAGAGAGATGTCTCGGTTGTTAAGAGCACTGACTCCTTTACAGAGGATTCAGGTTTGATTTCTATAAGGCATCTCATCATCTGAACTCCAGCTGGAAAGGATTTGATGCCTTTTCTGATTTCCTTCCTTCCTTTCTCCCTCCCTCCTTCATTCCCTCCCTCCCTCCCTCCCTCCCTCTCTCTCCCTCTCTCTCTTTCTTTTTTTCTTCTAGACAGGGTTTCTCTGTGTAACTACTTGTCCTAGAACTAGCTCTGTAGATCTGGCTGGCCTGAACTCACAGAGATCCTTCTGCCTCCTGAGTCCTGGTATTAAAGTCATGTACCACCACACCCTGCTTTATTTTTTTTTTGGTTGTTTATTTATTCATTTATTTTTGAGGCAAGGGTTCAGCTAGCCCAAACTGAACTCACTGTATGGGCCAGGCTGGCCTTGAACTCTAACACCTTCCTGCCTCCACCTCAATGCTGGGATTATATATATGAGCCTCTATACTCTACCTCTCAATCTCTTTTGGTTTTGACCATGCATAGTTGTAAACACTGGGTGATTGAACATTCACTTGGCTAATACTGTACTTACCTAGCTAGAAGCCAGATATACACTGGAAAAATGTGGCCCTGCTCTCAAGAGCTCCAGAATGAAGAACACAAAGATAGAGGGGTCAGTTCAACTGCCACAGAATTAAGTTTACTACTAGAGCCTACCCTGGAGCCAAGGCAAGAAAGGATACTTTGAGGCAAAGAAATGGTTTTATAAAGGCAGAGATACCAGGGCAAAAGATGTTTATATATAACTTCAGTACCATAGTAACCATATGCTTAATTCATATAAAAAGTTATGTGAGGGGCTGACAATATGACTCATAGGTAAAGGCACCTGCCACCAAGCATAAGGACTCAGGTTCAATGTCCCACAGACCACACATGGTAGAAGTATGAAACTGAGTCCATCAAGTTGTCCTCAGACCTCCTAGGCACATACACACTATGAAAAAAAAGTTAAATTTCTGGTTTCAGGAAAAAAAAAAAAAAAAAAAAAAAAAGCATCACTGGGCATTGGTGGCGCACGCCTTTAATCCCAGCACTTGGGAGGCAGAGGCAGTCAGATCTCTATGAGTTTGAGGCCAGCCTGGGCTACAAGAGCTAGTTTCAGGACAGGGTTCAAAGCAGATACATAGAGAAACAAAAAGAAAAAGCGCATATACTTTCCATTAATTCTGAGGTTTTTGAGCTAGGTCTCATGATGACCCAGGCTGGTGTTAAACTCACTGTGAAGTGAGAACTGTAATCTTTCCTCCCAAGACCTGGAAGTCATTGTGTAGACAATGTCCTCAGACTCAGGGTGGCTTGACTCTGCTTCCTGAGTGCTAGGATCAAAGGCTGTTTTTTTTCCTCTTCTTCGGTACTGAGTTGAGCCCAGGGCCTTGCACATGCCAGGCAAGCTCTCTACTACTGAGCTACATCTCTAGCCCTGTTTTGCTTTTTTCTTTTCTTTTTTCTTTCTTTTTCTTTTATTTATTTTTGACACATAGCTTTTAGTTTATTTGTCCTCTCAGAAATCTGCACATGACAGCAGATCAAGTCACCGCAGATCTACTCCTTTGGCTGTATCCAATCTCTACCAACGTTGGCCTTTGCTGTCCCGGACCTTCTTCATTCTGTTCTCTGTGTTCCTTTCGTTGTTTCCGGGAGGTCTTTTTCTCCTCATAAAGGCCACGTCTTGCAAGTCTGTGTTTGGGCTCGTCCTTTTTTGCATAGATAATCATCATAGATCATGCTGAAACCAGTTGTTTTGCCACCACCAAAGTGGGTTCTGAATCGGAACACAGAGATGACATCTGGTGTGGTTTTGTACATTTTGGGTAGCTTTTCCTGAATTTCTGTCTTTGGTCCTGTTGCCTTCCCAGGGTGAAGGACATCAGTGACCATCTGTTTCCTCTGAGGCAGATGCTTAGTCATGAACTTCCTGGTCCCGATCGTTACTGTATACCCGAGCTGCAAGGGAGGTAAAGCCACTTTTTTCTTTTTTGAAACGGGGTCTCACTGTTGCTCCCTAACTGGCCTGTAGACCCAGCTACTCGCAAATTCATAGAGAACCTCTTGCTGCTAAGATAAAAGGTGCACACTTCACTCCTGTCCTCCGTTTTTGCTTTTTGATTAGAGATAGTGTCTAAATTCCAAGTGGCAGGTGAGTTTGTAGTTACAGCCCCTGTGGCTGTTTTCTTTCTTGTTGACATGTGATTACAAGGCCACCTCACACTGTGGCTAGCACTTAGTTCAGCACAGACCCTTCCTGGACAGAAAATCAGGTTGGTGGAATTCAGGAGTAAGAACAGGACTCGTGCACAGGCAAGGTATGGTCTCTTGCATATCTGTAGTTATAAGCAGCGCCAGGACATTTGCCCTTGACGTGACCCCCATCTCCTTCTAGCAGATACCATGCTAGCAAGCTGTCTCCAGGGAGAAATTGGGTTTTCTCCCTGTTTATTGGTCCGCGGAATCCCTTGGAGGAGTCCTTGTTACTACCCGAGAGAACGAGAGCCCATTGGTTAGGACACCTCATAATGACACAGTGGTGCTCAGGATTCTCGTGATTGGCTCGCGACCGGTCTCCAAGAGCCTATGGCCTGGAACTGGGTTTTGCTGCCTAGCACCAGGAGTCACAGCTCCCCCTCCGCGGCTCCCCATTGGCTGCCTGGCTCAAAGCTTTGGAGAGCATGCTCCTGGTCCCCGCTGGAGGGCGACTGGACCTAGAGCAAGTCCCAGAAGCTCGACGACGCCTGTGTGCTTGAGGACGAAGAAGGCTTGTTGAAGAGGACTCAGTTTTCCCTGAAAACCTGTTTTTTTTTGTTTTGTTTTGTTTTTGTTTTTGTTTTTGTTTTTTTGTCCCTACCCAGGCTTTCCCTTGGAGCTCTGCATCTCTGGCCAGGACGCCAATCTTAATGGTAAATTCCATGTCCTTGAGTGTTGTGCAGACCTTCTAGGGAGTAACAGAAAGAAGGGTACGCAGCGCCCGCGACTCTATTTGCTTATCTCCTAATTCCGTTACCAGTACTTGGTCGTCTTGTTAATTGTGCTTTTTGCATCCACTTCCACCATGCTTCCTGTCCAAATCCCTACCCTTCTTCAATGGTACTGGGAATCTCGTGTCCTAAAGAATTCTGATTGAGAGCCAAACGGGATTGGTGCTGAGCGTGAAACCCAGAGATGTTCTACTATCCCAACGTGCTTCAGCGCCACACAGGCTGCTTCGCCACTATCTGGTGAGCACAGGGCTGATAGCTATACCAGGAGCCAAGTAGCGGGAATCTGAGTTTGACAGGCCATACCTGTCCCCACCCCTCCAGGCTGGCAGCAACCCGAGGCAGCCGGTTGTTGAAGCGTGAATACCTGAAAGTAAATGTAGTGAGGACCTGGTAAGGCCCAGAAAAGAGGGAGGCGTCTTTGGCTTGGGAGCTACGATGAGTGAAGCACTGACCAGGGCCCATTGTTTTCCCAGCGAGGAAATCCTCAATTATGTGCTGGTACGAGTGCAACCACCGATGCCTGGGCTGCCCCGTCCCCGTTTCTCCCTCTATCTCTCTGCGCAGCTGCAGATTGGTGTGATAAGGGTCTACTCTCAACAGTGCCAGTACCTTGTGGGTAAGGCTGGGGACACTAGAGGTGGGTTAGAGCTGAACAGCCCATGCCTAGGCTGATTATTTTACCCTCCGTGCCCACAGAAGACATCCAGCATATCCTAGAGCATTTGCACCGGGCCCAGCTGCGGATTCGCATTGATATGGAGGAGGCTGACCTGTGAGTCCCTGGAACTGGGGCCGTCTAGACGGAGCTTGAGGCCTTTTTTTTTTATGCATTTGTGTGGGGGGGGCCAGGGGGCAGACCATTATATGCATGTGGAGGGCAGGACAACTGAGGTTGGTTGTCTTTGCTATGTAGGTTCAGATTTAGGGATCAAATTCAGGACTCTGCATTTGGTGGCAGCACCTTTACCTGCTGAGCCATCTCACCCACTCTCAGCCTTGTCCTTGACATCCCACACTCTCTCCCAGACCTAGCTTGCTTCTTCCCAACTGCCTGGCCATGATGGAGATGCTGGAAGATGCCCCGGAACCCTTTTTTGGGATGATGTCTGTGGATCCAGGACTTCCCAGTCCTTTTGATATTCCTCAGGTAGGGTTCATTCCCTTACCACACCTCAGAAATCATGAGATAACAGTATAGAAGGAAGGTGTCCTTGTATTAAGCTGACACAGGTTTGGGGATGGGGCCCTGCCATAGGCTTCCATAAGAGGCCATATGGAGCAAGGGAATTGGTGGGTGCAAACAAGCAAAGCCTGAGATCTTGCTTACTCAGTGCCAGTCTGATGGAATGGCTTTCCCGAGAGAGGAATTCTTCCCCCATGTCCCCTGTTCCCACCACTGAGACCCTAATGCAGATGTTGGTGTTTTGTCCCCATCTTCTCCCATTTCCCATCTTCTCATTCATGCAGTTGGTCCTGAATGCACATTGTATCAGTACCTAGGGATCTCGGTGCCTGGAGTTAGTGGTACCCATCCCCTTCTTTTCTCTAGGTATCCTTAGCTACCAACACTGGCCCCCATTTTCCATGTCCCAGAGGTGCCACATTTGCTTCTTTACTTGTTTCTCAATCCAATAAGAGCAGTTCTTCATTCTCTGCTAGCCAGGGCCTACTATCCTTACAGACTTAGTCTACTGCCCTCTTTCCATGAAATCACTTGAAGCCAAGAGAATTGATGTTTAGAATGTGAGCACTTTACTGCCCTCTTCGTTGACTATTGGGATCAGTCACTCACACTTGTCCCCACTACCATTTACCCATGAACCTTTCTAGTCACTTCCATCCACAACAACAGTTGACATATAGATGAGTTTTGCAGTACTTTTTGCACAAATTAACAAAGCTAATTTGGGGGCGAGGCTAGGACAGGGACAGGAGGAAGAGTAGGTTGTTGGCTTTATGACATGGATTTCAAATGACACAAAGATTTGGTTTAGGGCTGGAGGTGTAGCACAGTGATAGACTATTTGCTTAACATGCACACGGCCCTCAATTTGATTTCTAGTTCTGAAAATGCGTGTACACACACACACACACACACACACACACACACACACACACACACCAAACACACACACACATAGTGGATGTAGTATGTAAGCTACTTCAAGAACTCATTGGTTTGAAGGATGAGGACTGTCAAAAGTTGAATCAGGAGTGTGCTGGAGCCATAACTCCGTGGTTCCAGTGCCAGCTTTCGTAGTCACCTATCACTCTAGCCCCAGGGCTCCAACATCCAACTCTGTCTTCTGGCCTCCAAGGGTATATGCATACACACATAGATAATAAAATCTTCAAAGAAAAACTTTAGGCCAACCCCAGCTACACAGTGAGACCTGTCTCAAAAATGAATAAATAAGAAGAAAGCAAGAATTCTAAAACACGAAATATAAAGAGAGGCTGCCAGATTGGTGCCCACCAAATGTTTTGAAAGTGAGGATATACAGGAATGAAGCTGACTGAGACCTTTCTTTTGTTCCCAATTTCTTCCCAAAGATTCGGCACCTTTTAGAGGCTGTGACCCCAGGGAAAACTGGTAAGGAGACTCCTTCTGAAGTCACTGCAGAGCCCGGGGGAGCCAGGTCAGCAGGGAGGGCTGTTCTGATGAGAGGCTCAGGAACCTGAGAGCTCAATCAGTGACTCTTGGAGAGCCAGGCCCTGTGGACACATCTGTAATCCCACTTCCTTGGGAGCCTGAGGTGGGAAAACTGCAAGTTAACACCTGCCTGGGTTAGACACTGAGTTCAAGGCCAGCCTAGACTGCTTAAAGAAACCATTTCAACATTCCCTTATTTATTTATATATTTGTTTTTGAGACAGAGTCTCTCTGTGGAACAGCCCTGGCTGTCCTGGGCCTTGTTCTGCAGACCAGGCTGGCCTCAAACTCATAGAGATCTGCCTGCCTCTGCCTCCTGAATGCTGGGATTAAAGGTGTGCACCACCACTGCCCTGTTAACATTTCCTCTTTTTTTTTTAAGGGTGAAAAACAAAACAGGTGGACACCTATAATCCCAGGACTCAGAAAGTAGAGGCAGGAAGGCCAAGAGTTCAAAGCCAGGGGCTGGTGAACTGGCTGAGTGTTTGAGTATTGACTGGTCATACAGAGGACCTAGGTTCAGTTCCCTACACCCATACATTGGCTTACAATTACCTGCAAGTCTCCCTCCGGAGGAATCTGACATACTAACAAGTGTGTACCCACTGAGTATAGACACACTCACATACACATAATTAACGATTCAGATAAATCTTTAAAAAGAGCCTAAATGAGGTCAGAATTGCTATCTCCATTTTAAGGATAAGTTAAGTAAGGCTCACAATGGTTAAGAAATGAACTTGGAGGCCGGGTGTGGTGATGCCACACCTTTAAACTCAGCAGTGGCAGAGGCAGGCAAGATCTCTTAGTTGGAGGCCAACCTGGTCTACATAGTGAGACATCTCAGAAACAAACAAAGAAATTCACTTCGAGTATTTGCTGTTGGCTAGTCTGGGTCTGGTTCTTGGTCCATGTTTTTGCCCCAAAAACTTAAAAAGAAATAGGGCTGCTATGATCTTCCTACCCCTCCAGACAGGACCTTAGCCACTATACAGGCTCCTGAGGCCATCACCCTACAGGAGGCAGAGCCCATTCGCATGTTGCGGATCGAGGTGAGTTTCTCCTTAAACACATTATTATAGTCCAGCATCACCACACCCCTGCAGTTCTGCCTTTCTGCTTCCATTTTCCCACATTCTGTCCAGTTAGTACCCACTGGGTTTCCTTGGGCTTAACCTAAAAAAAATCCACTGTTTTCCTCTCTCCATAGGGAGAGCGGGATCTCCCAGAGGTCAGTCGAGGTGATTTGGATCTGCTGATAGCGGAGGAAGATGATGCCATATTGCTGGAGGAACGTCAGCGAGGCCGGCTTCTCCGGCGGCGGAGGGCCTCCCCAGCACTGGATGGTCAGATCCCTGCCCAGCCGACCTGGGAATGGGAGTGCCCTGTTCTTCTGTCTCCTAAGTGTTCTGATCCTCTCTCTCTCTCTCTCTCTCTCTCTCTCTCTCTCTCTCTCTCTCTCTCTCTGCAGAATCTAAGGAAGAGCCCAGGGCCATGGAAGGAAATGGTGTGGTCCCCTCCCTCTCACCCCCAGCTCCGGCACAGTAAGGGCAGGAATCCCTGTACCAGAAAGGGTCATTGTTGGGAAGGTTTCCTTATCTGCCTGTTTCTCCTCAGGGTTGAAGGGATAAGAGAACCACTTCCAGGCCAGGTCTTCGCTCCTGAGGTACAGAAGTTGACAGGCTGGGAGCCTGGGGCCCTCCTCACTGGTAAGTGTCCATCACTTGGTTCTTCCTTGGGAACAGCTGCACACTTTGCAGAGACAAAAGTCCTTACCCCACCTCCTGAGGGAGAGCTGAAAGAATGAAGGGGTGAGCCGGGCGGTGGTGGCACACACCTTTAATCCCAGCATTTGGGAGACAGAGGCAGGCGGATCAGACTTTGAAGCCAGCCTGGTCTACAAAGTGAGTTCCTGGACAACCAGAGCTACACAAAGAAATCCTCTCTCCAAAAACAAAACACAAAACACAGTGTGGAGATAACATCTGGAGCCCAATCAGTCCAGAAGCTGGGATTGGGGGAGGATTGCCATAAGCCATCTTGGGTTAGAGTGACAGACCTTGCCTTGACAAAACAAAAACAAAACCAGGGCCTTATGGGTGTTGTTGCAGAGGTGACGCCTCCTCCGGAGCTACGTCTACCTGCCCCACCTAGTGCAGAGGTGAGTAGGCTCTTCCCTGAGCTGCAGGTTCTGTACCCCCACTCCCACCCACAGTACATCTTCTTCCTTAAGCCCAGGGCCATTGCTAGCTTTCCATACCTCATGGTGTGGCCTCTCTTCCCAGTAGGTACCTTTGAGTAAGCTATGAGTTGCATAAGGACTTTACCCAAGCTTCCTCCCCAGACAACTGGCAGGGGCCGAGCGTGGGGTCACTGGTAGGCCACTGGAAAGGGGAGATGGATGGCCTGACCCTTGCCTCCCCTTCTGCTCTAGAAGAGGCCCCCATCTCTTCCGAGACAACCTGGCCGACGCCGCCAACGCCGCCAGTTACTATTCTGGGACAAGGAGACTCAGATCTCCCGGGAGAAATTCGAGGAACAGCTGCAGGCTGGGGCTCACTGCCGGGAGTATGTGAGTGAGGTTCAAGTTCTTCCTGGAGAGTAGAGACATGCAGGTCTGGCTGGACTTCTGAACTCCCATGGAGCCCTGGCAATGTAACAAAAGGCCCTAGTTCCTAGAAAGTGCATGTGTGTGGAACCGCATATACCCAACACATCCACTGACACCAGGTCACCATGTACCCTTTTGCCACATGCACTATAGGCCAGGTCATGCACCTGAAACAGGCATAAGCCCTGGGAAGAGCATACGAAGGGGGGGGGGGGCAGTGAGGAGTGGCGCTCTCATAAAGAGCCGCTGGCTTCCCACCCTTACAGCCTGTGGTGCAGCCTGAAAGGATGGTCACAAGCCCGGCGGAGCTCTTCAGAACCCCAACTCTCTGTAAGGATGAGGACAGTTGGGCGGGTGGGATCTTCAGAACCTGGGACCCTCAGTGTCTGGATTTAAACCTTCCCCTTTGTTGTCAGCTGGCTGGCTGCCCCCAGAACTACTAGCTTTATGGACCCACTGTGCCCAGATACCCCCGAGAATGCTCAGACAAAGACCACAACGGGAGCCTGAGGTGGAGAGGGCAGCTGAGGAGGAAAGAAAGACTGAAGCCCTGAGCGAGATTGAGGTAGCTGCCTCCACCGGGCCGGGGAAGCCTCAGCTCTGGCACGCTCTAGCCAACTTTCTCCTGACCAGCTTACTAATGAGACCAAACCCTGACACTGGTGCTTGGCTCTCAGTTCTTGCTCTCCGGCCTGCAGGTTCTGAGAGAGGCCCAGGAGCCCAGTGGTCCCCTCATGCTCTCTTCAGGTAGGCGCTTGCACTAGAGGGGCAGGTGGAAACCGCTACGCTAACCAGCTTCAGGGAGGAGCACGCGGAGCATTAAGGAAGCAGACTTGAGTCTCCTCTGCCCCCACTTTGCACAAGGCTATACTAGGCTCCAGAATATGGGGAGGGGAGCTTTGTAATAACCCTGGGGGCAGAAGCCAAGGCCTTGTGCGTGTCAGGCAAATGTCTCACTACTCAACTACATACCAAGCAGACTCCTCAATGCCCTCCTCACAGAGCTCTCCCTGGAAGCGGCTGAAGAGGAGAAGTCCCGTACCAGCCTCATCCCCCCAGAAGAACGGTGGTAAGCAGCCAGGGGGGGTCTACCTGTTATCACTGTCACAAGTGCCCTCCCCCTTCCCTGAGCAGCCCCACTTTGCCTCCTAGGGCCTGGACTGAGGAGGGCCAGCCAGAGCCTCCGGTGCTGCCCATGCTGCCCGAGATCCCTGAAGTGCCCATGGAGATGCCCCCAGGGCCTGAGCTACTCTCTTCAGAGGCTATATATAGGTACCATGGAGGGGTCCCTCAAGGGGTAGGGTGGGCTGTGTCCCCCGGCTGATAGTCCTCAATCCCTGCAGGGCAGTAGCACTGGAGCTACAGGCCAACAGGGAGCCAGACTTCAGCAGCCTGGTGCCCCCTCTCAGCCCCAGGAAGCTGGCTTCTCGGGTCTTCTACCTGCTCCTCGGTGAGTGTAGGTGTGAGAAAGATGAGGCAGACAGGCCAGAAGCTGCTATAGCACACTAGTCTCTACAGTCACGGTGTGACCTGCCTTCTCCTTTCCCAACTAGTACTGTCCGCACAGAAGATCCTTCGTGTGGAACAAGAAAGGCCGTATGGGCGCCTCCTGATCCATCCAGGACCCAGATTCCACTGAGCAAGTTTATTAAACCATATCCTACCTCACTGCACTTTGCCCTTTTGTTATTCTCTTTAGAGATTTATTTTTAATTTTAAATTGTGTGTGGGGGTTGGAACGTGCAAGTGTGTGCAGTTGTCTGGGAAGGCCAGAAGAGGGCATTAATAAACCTCTGGAGCTGGAATACAAGGCAGTTTTGAGCCATCTAGTATGGGTTCTAGGAACTGAACTCCTGTCTTCTGCTGGAAGTTTGCCCTCTTCAGTGCTGAGACACTCCAGCCCCTTGCCTGTCTCATTTCTGAACACACACCTCTAGCCTTCTTGCTCTCAGAGCTCGTGTCCAAGCAGAAAACAAGCTGTCTTTATTACAGTGTGATGTCATAGCTCTGCTTGAATAGCTCCAGCCCCAGAGACAACCCTGTTAAGACAGCGAGCAGGATTGACTTCCAATGATACAGTCTTTGGTGAAGTGAGCTGGGCCTGGGCTGACCAGTAGTCTTCGGGCCCGATGGCCCAGCTGGAGCCTGTGGTCTAAGTGAGGCCCAGCATGGCCTGGAGTTCCTGAGCTTTATCAGCAGGCAGAGAGCCCAGGGCTGCGTGGAAGCTGTCGGCGTGCTGTTTGGCCAGGAACGTCAGGAGCAGCAGCAGTGCCGCCTTGGTGTCTGGGTAGAGCAGAGACAGGGCCTGATGAAGAGCTGGGTGACACTCTTACTACTCCATTTTCCCTGGCCCTCAGCTATGACTGTCACCCTCACCTGGTGGGATCCGGTTGTCTGGCAGAATCAGGCTGCAGATGCGCAGGAGCTCAGGAGCCACATCTACAACCTATGGAAAAGGACTGGTCAACTCTGGCAGTAACAGCCGTGGGCCCCAGGGCTTAGAGTAGGGGGTTGGAACCAGGGAGAGAAGAAGCCTTGAAACCGTTGGAGCTGACACCCAACCCGAACTGTGAACTTGAGAAGGAATAAGGAAACATGGTAACAATCTCTTTTTGGAGGCAATAAGATGTGTGGCCTCAAAACTAACAGAAATCCAGCATCCAAGTACTCACCCAACACACAAAAAAGATTTAAGACAGGTGACACAAGAACAGTGGAGCATGTGTCCAATCCTAAGTAATTGGTGTCTGCAGAATTGTTCAGAAGCAGATTCCAGTGTATGTGAGGTATCCAGGGCTCCAAAGGAAACTTTTCCTAGCCCTAACCTAGGAAATCAGCCTAGGGAAGTTATGACTACTGGCTTAGTCCAAGAGAAGTGGGAAAATGCTACCAGGAAAGGCCCTGCTCTCCTCTCATCAGACTGTCTGCCAACACTGTGGACACAGAGGAAAAAAGCTAGGACTGTAGCTCTGCTGGTGGAAGTGTTTACCAAGCATGCATCTAAAGTCAAGTCTAGTATAGTAGTGCATGCCTGTAATCCCAGCACTCGGGAGGCGGAGGACGGATGGGGAAGGACTGAGGGCTCAAGGCCATCCTCAGCTATTTAACAAGCTGGGGCCAGTTGGGGACACAGGGAAGGAAAAGGTGGCACACGCCTTTAATCCAAGCACTCTGGAGGCAGAGGCAGGTGGAACTCTGAGTTTAAGGCCAGCCTGGTCTACAGAGCACATTCCAGGACAGCCAAAGCTACACAAAAGAGAAACCCTGTCTTGAAAAACCAAAAAAAGCACCTAAAATCGCCATACATCAGTTAAAGAGTTGGCATCTCCTCTGCCCACCCTTAGGCTGGAGCCTAACAGCCCTTGTAAAGCTCCAGCAGCAGGTTACCTGGTCAGGGTTGTTCTGGTGCAGGAAGCTGAAGAGGCAGCCCATAGTGATCCACTCCTCCATGTCTTCCTTCAGTGGCAGGGCATGCAGCAGGGTAGCCAGCACCTGAACACACAGATGTCTCAGGGCCATGTGTCCTGAACCCTCTACCATCCTTGGCCTCCACCCCTGCCTGATGCCCCTTCCTCACCTGCGGCTCTGCTTTCCTTTCTGGACTGGCCATCAGCAGACGGGCAAGAGCCCCACAGATGTTATCACGGACTCGATCATGACGCTCCCTTGCCAGGAGGGGCAAAAGGAGGCCCAGCAGCTTGGGGAAGTGCCTGGCCCGCAGTTAAGGACTATACACATTGGCAGACTTCACCCTGAGCAGCACCACACCAAATCCCTGGGCTCACTGCCAACCCCATTTCCCCTCCTGCAAGCATAGGATACTCCTGAGCAGGGCAGCCCCCATGCTCCACAAGTACACCCAGCCCAAAGATGGCATTGCTCCGCACCTCTGGGTCTGCTTCCCGGGCAGCGTTTAACAGCACAGGGAACAGCCGAGACACAAACTGGGCTGAGGCAGGACCCATACCCTGAATGGACTCTGCCAGTGTTCCTACCGCAAAGGACTTTTCGGCCACCGTACAGCTCTGTTTCTATAGGGGAGGTAGAAGGAATACAAATTGGCATGGTTGGTGGAGTTGGAAGGGCACCGGTGCACGTGTTGCCTAGGATGTGAGGCCAGAGGACAGAACACTCACCATCTTACATAGCAATAACGGCAAGAAACTGGCAAAGAAAGGAGCAAAGGTATGTCCTCCGGCTGCGGCTGCCAGGGCAGGGATGGCCTCTCCAGCGTGCTCTAGTAACATGGCGTCATACTCTGCCTGTGGAGCCAGGTGAGAGGCTGGAGCACCAGGGCCAGCTCCGTGATCATGCATCTCCACACCCCACTCTGACACTGGCTGCGGTGGTTCTGGGGCTGCCCTTGCCTCACGGACAGACCTGTTTCCAGGCTGTGTCTTTAGAGCCCAGGCCCTCCATTTATCACACCGTGTGCTGTCCCGGGGCACGGCACTCAACACCTCACCACCTTACTGGGATGAGAGTGGCACCACTCTGGCAGCACCAGCTTCTGTTAGCAGCCCTGGCTCCTCCAGGCTAGCCTGGGTGCACAGTCCACTGCTGAACCTGCGGGGACTAACTACATTATCCAGACGGCTTCCGTCTGTAGCTCTCACCTGGTCATCGTCTTCATCGTCCTCCTCCTCCTCAATGTTCTGACAGGCTGTCTGTGGAAGACACGGTTCAGCTGAGTGTGGGTTCTCCTGCCTTCTCCTTTGCACGGTGGTGGTGAGGTGGGCAGAGTTGGACTGAAGCCTCTGAAGACCCACCCCTCCCACAGCCCCCCGTCCCTACTCACCTTCTTCTGCAGCACAGCCTTGAGTAAGTTGCAGAGCTCACCGAGGCGCCCGGGGGGGTACAGTGTGAGAGCCCCACAGGTGCGCAGCACCCCAGTCAGGGCCTCCAGCACTGCCATCACCACTGGGCGCTCCCTTTCCCCTCTCACTGCCTGCATGTAAGACGGGATCACTCGAGCCAAGGCAGACTGCAGCGCTGCAGACACAGTTGGCCAAAGCCACGGTCAGGCTCTGCACTGCGTTCCCAGGGCTCCCAGCCCGCTAACGTCTCCTCACCAGCACTGTTGGGTTCGGAAGGGTTTCTCTCACAGGCCTTATGCAGTGAGCAGCAGAACTGTCCCAGAGCTTCGTGAGCTGCTTTCCGCACATTCAGATGAGGGCACTGGAACAAAGAGGGTAGGAAGGTGTGTGCCTGGCATGTGCCAGGTGAAGGCAACCCTAACTGCAGCCTAAGGGTCCACCGACTGACTCACCTCCAACAGTTTGAGTACTTCATCGAAGATGTTATCCATGTACGGAAGGAAGGCCACACTATGGAAAGACACGTAACAGTGGGGAAAGGGGCCCTGGGTATGGTTCCCAGCACCATGGAAGGGCTGGTGCTCACCTGGCGTTCACAGAGATCTCCCCCAGGGCAGTGCAGGTGTCTTCTTTCTCATCGAAGAAGGCATTCTCCACACTGTACCTAGGGCCAGTTGGGGAGGCAGTGATGATGCCTGCAGGGACACACCCAGCAGGGACACTGGGCTCTGTCTAGACTCAAAGTCTGCAGTCTTTCTATTTTTTATTTTTTGGCTTTCTGAGACAGGGTTTCTCTGTGTAGCCCTGGCTCTTTTCGACCAAAATCAGAGCCTCTGCTTCCCAAGTGCTGGATTAAAAACACGCACCACCACCACCCAACCCGGTCGACACTCTTTAAGTCGAAGAGCACTCCCCCTACCCCGAGATCTCAGAATCCTCCCCCTCCTCTTCCATATCGTCATCCATGAGGTCCTCTTCTTCTTCCTCTTCGCTCTCATCATCAAACAGAAGGAAGGAGCTGATTCCATCATACTGAGGCTACACGAAGAAAGCAAGAGTAGGGACTTTGGCTCAGGTGGGACCAGGAGGTAAATCCCACCACAGGGTCACCCTGGTCCAACTGGCCCAGTACACCCCTCCTCTGCTCACCACGATGCCCTCAGTGGAACGCAGTGACAGCAGCATGAGCGTGGTAATTTGAGGCAGGTAGGGTGCCAGGCCATCCCCCATTAACCCTGATAAAGCTGCAAACAGGCTGTACCTGGTGAAGGTAGAGAGAATCTGTATGCTGCTGACTGCTATACAGACAAAGGGGAGCCCGGGAGCCCTGGCTGTGGGCCAAAGCCGAAGCGCTGGTATCTGGGATGACAACTGTCAATACAGTGGGCAGGAGAGCAGGGGCAGCATCAAGGGTTAGTCACTCACGTGCAGCGCCGCAAGTCAGGATCATCTATGTGGCTGCATAACCCCAGCCCCAGCTGACAGCATTCGTCGGCCAGGGGTCTCATGGACTCTCCCAGTGCTCGAGCCAGCACTCCCAGGGTCTCTGTGGGAGCAAGAGCTCAGTCAGCACTGAGATGTGGAGACTAGAAAACCAAGGATGGCAAGTGCAATGAATTCACAACTCTACCCTGTTCGCAGGTACAACACAAAGGGCACCTTTTCATCAAAGACACTCAACTGCTCAGGGAGAAAGCCCTGTAAACACCAGGTAAGCCCTGGCCTTTCCTGGGTGCAGAGTGCATGCCTGAAAACCCCTCCTTACCCAAGCTCTGGATCTGCACGAGCTGAAGTTCTTCATGGCCAGTCAACAGGAATCCCCGGATGAGCTCCATGATGGTGGGGAAGTAGGGCAGCAGGGAGT